ACGTTAGATCAAGTTGTCTGTTTTTTTACATATGTGTATTGATTTGGCTGGGATCGATGCCCTAGTAAATTTATGAAATTCTTAGTTTAGAGGTATATCTCATTGTTTGTTGACGTGCACTTTGTTGTGTATGCACTCAAAATAATAATTAATACAACACTATCCTTTAAATATCTCCGCTCATCTCTGGGGAGTGATATATTCTAGTAAGGGTCATATTTGATGGGCGAATAATTGGGTTCTCTTGAGAGTGGCGTTCTATTAAAAAAAGATCAGAATCACCTTCTTTTGATTCGCCCATCATCAGGAGTAAGCAGGCTTCATAGACTTAGGTTGAGATGAACAAGGGCCACACTGTTGTTCAAGAAGATTGACTATCTGCAGTGGATGTTCTTCTTCTTCACTGTGTTGTTCTAGATGTTGTTACCTGGTTCATTTGTGGAAAAATAAAAATAAAAATCTCAAAGGGAAGTGATGGTGGTTATGGGGATTTGGAGTTCTTGAAAGAGCTTGGTGGATTGGATTTTGGTGAAGATTTTAAGTTTGAGTCTTCCAATTTTAGCTAAGCTCAATGTCTCTGTTGGTTTGGGAGAGCAATGGGATTCCTCCACTACTAGAAAAATAACTATTTGTTGCGGTCATTTTAGGCTATTTGCTGCGGTTTTGAACCGCAGCAATTGCGGGAGCAGCAAAAAGTGAACAAAGTTAATTGCTGCGGTTTACAACCGCAGCAAATAGTATTAAATTTTTATTAAAAAATACATATTGCTGCGGCTAACATACAACCGCAGCAAAAGGATACTAGTACACGTCTAACAAAAAGTCTACTGACAAGATGATAGCAATGATTTTCCATATTAAATAAGTGCCAACTCAGCCAATCTACTATAGAGTAATAATATACTTCGTACTTCTACAAATAACAACTAAAGACTTTAATTAGAATCTTCTTGCCTTAATATTAACTTTCCCAACACATCTGACTCATTGTATGAGAAAACAACAACAAATTAAAATACTAATAAAATGTAAACTAAAATCAGTTCCCTATTAAATTCTTTATAAAGGTCGGCAAAACTAGACCAGCTCAATGCAAATAATAGACTTTCTTTTCTTCTAGCTTTTCCCTCTCCAGTTGTGAATGGAAGTGAATGGCTTCCTGTTGAAATAGAGTGGTCAAAAATCAAAATTAGGAAAAAAAAATATACATGGATTTAATTACTTGAAGGTTAAATGGTGGCATCTACGGCTTCTCATTTTGCAAAATGTTCCTTATATTGTAAATCAAATTACACAGCAAGGTATTGCAAATTTATAGTATAAAAACCTATTTTATATCAAAGTATCAAATTAGCTTTCTTTTTCAGTCTTCATCCCCTATGAACCTACAAATTGATTAGTTTGACTAATATTCTTTCATATACTTATACTTCTTAGTCTTTACATAGTATAAAGGGATAAGGGTCAGATAGGGCCTCGAACTCGAAAAAAAATGTCAAATAAGGTCATATTTAGGATGCTCTGTCCGGCCGACACCATTTGGGGTGGTTCCAGATGCCATTTTTTGATGAATTTTTTTGAGCATCTTCCTCATTAAGCCTAGTTTACCCATACCAAATTTCAGCTAAAAATTCAACTGGGAAGGTAGTCAAATGATTTTTTGAAGATAATTGTGAAGTTAAACAACCTCGTACATTTCGGAAAATCATTTGACTACCTTCCCGGTTGCATTTTTAGGTGAAATTTGGTATGAGTAAACTAGACTTAATGAGGAAGATGTTCAAAAAATTTCATCAAAAAATTCCATCGGGAACCACCCCAAATGGCGTCGGCCGGACAGAGCATCCTAAATATGACCTTATTTGACATTTTTTTTCGAGTTCGAGGCCCTATCTGACCCTTATCCCTAGTATAAATCAATAAATAAATTGATTAGGAAAGGTCAACCAATTTTATTTTATTCTTCGTTTTCCACAAGATCTTCTTTGTTTCAAGTTCTCCCTTTAGTTTCCCTTCTAATTCTTTCTCTGGTAATTTCCCGGTTCCAAGCAGACCCCTCATAAAACAGAAAAACATGTCAAATAAAATAACAAACTTACAATATGTTCTTATAAGATAAGCAACCAAGATCTGATGATAAGCTTCCCGATAGACTCATACTAAGCATTTGCCTGTTACAATAAAAGAAGAATTCACATAATGGCAGAATACACATGAGCTTGTTTATATAATGAAAAAATATAACTTTATAAAAATGAACGACATAAAACAGCAAAGTCATACCAGCAAACTCACTTCAAAGTCATACCAAAACGAACGACAACCGTGTGATTTTTATGGTTTTCGTTTCCCAAGTTAAGAAATCTCCTACTAATACAAATATTACGTACAAATATTACAAAATCTGAGCCCAGATTCATATATATTTAGAAAAATGACTACCCCCACAGAAAGAAAGGTTATGCGAAAATTCAACTTTAGACCATTGCCAAATACATTCCATACATCCAAAAACTTGAGAAACAAATAAAATAACAATTATTCTAAAATAATTGGACCCACACTTTGAAGTCAATAAAATTGAAATCAACAAATGGGAAATCCCTACAAAGGCAATATAAAACTTAACCTGCAGGGTTGATGCTCACCTTTATAAGCAAATCTAATGCAATTTCTTTTAGATTTGGGCAATTGAAAAACTGTGCAGAAAATAGGCCTCAGTTAATATAGGATTCTGAGTTGTGATAGCTATGCTATTGAGTAGTGAGCATTTGACTTTAAAAACATACCTTCTTAGAGAGACAAAAGTTCTAAAAGTCAAAGGGTGGAAAGCTTGGTGGAACAAAGACGGGAGCAATCTGGATAGCAAAAATCGTAACAAACTAGTAGTGTTGCAAGATTAGAAGGATATAAATACATAGATAGATTACATAGAAAAACTTACTTCAAGTTATACGCTCTGCCAGTCGCCTGCTTTGACCTCGCCACGATCCTTGCAGTCCCATGTATTCAGTACCTTTCTCTTCACATGCTCTGACCTTGCTTTTTATAAATGTGATTTATGCATGCATAAGATGTTCAACATATAATGAAAAATACTCATTCACCAGATACATAAGGAACATCGGACAATGGGAGAAAGAGGGCAATATAGTCAAATGTGGAAGGGATGTTAAGTCATAGTTATCAAGCATTATTAAGCTATATATTATGAGCATCAGGGTGTATTATAAATAATACTTGATGTCTCAATCATTTCCAATTTAAACCTTTTGTTCAAAAAACATCGAATTGGAATCCCTCACAGTGATGATGATGAAATTACCATCTCATTCATTTTTACACTCCTTTTTGGTTGGATAAATCTACCTTTGAATAAATGTATAAAATATTTAGCATGTTTCTTAGTCAAAATCTGAAATGCACAAAACACACACAACACATTAAACATATACAAAAAAGGATTGATAACTCACATTTTCAACAAAGAGGACGAAGAGGATAGAATATCCGGAGGAACGACAAATAGACAGAGAGCGGCAGTCTTTGATTGCGAAAACACAGTGACGGAAACAATCATAGGCGCACAGAGCAGTTAGCATATTCAATTAAATAATTAACCCTTACAAAACAGACCAGACTATAGCAACATTCACTCTCATTAGAAAGTCATAATAACATTTAGAACCTATAGTTATTTATCATAGAAAGATAAATAATTTACCTAGAAAAGAGGAGAAGAAGTATAAGAGGAGGAGGCGTGAGCTGGCATTGCTATGTGAAGGAACAAGAGGTTGTGCTAGTTGGAGGCGCGAGGCGTGAGGCGGCAAGTTTGGGAGGGCGATGTTGTGCGAACCAGAGGCGCGATGCGGAGTGGATTGCGAGGCTAAGGCGGTGTGACCCGATGCGGTTGGTTAGCTGATGCCGTTGCGAGGCAGATGCGTTAGTCGCCTGATGCGGTTGCCAGACGACATCGTTGGTCAGCTGATGCTGTTGCGAGGCGGCAGAGTTGTGAGGGCCGTGAGGCTAAGGCGGTGCGACCTGGTGCGGTTGGTTGACTACTGCGACTGTGACTTGTGAGGCCAATGGCTAAGAACCCTAGATTGGAACTCTGGTTGTATGTTGAGGATGAGGCAGATTTTTGGGAATCAAACACTGGGAGAAGAGAATAAACGAGAGTTGAAGAGCGAAGTTGAGGTTCCATCTAACCCTTAAAATATTTTCTGGATCTATTAGCTGCGGTTATCCAAAGCCCGTAGCAAATATTGAAGAAACGGTAGTATATTGCTGCGGTTTGGTAGTAAACGCAGCAAAAATATGAAAACATTTGGATTATTTGCTGCGGATCAATCACGGCCGCATCAATTACGAATTAAAATTAATTTTAAAACAGAAAATCATCCTTATTTGCTGCGCATGCTTAGGAACCGCAGCAAATACATAGCAGCAAATGTGATAAATTCTAGTAGTGCTCCACAGAAAACCCAAACTCAGATTCGTGAGTATTGATATCACCCTATCAATTATTGTTTGGGTTGTCTTGTGAATAGTTGGTATAATGCTTTTTCATTATTCTGGTAGATTTTTTGTTGGCTGATCCATACCAAGTAATGTTGCTTAATGTTTCATTGCCTTTGAAGAAGTTTGGGTATGAAGTTCAGGCCATGCATACTTACCGCCATGGAGAATGTCCATGGAGAATGACTTGAGGTTGCAAATGGGGTGTGTGTTTAATCGAAGGAGAAGAAGTCTCTTTAACGAGTGTTAGTGAGTGGCTGATAATCAACAAATAAGTTCGAATCAATGTTTATTTGATCGAATCAGTGTCCAATCCGAGATTCATTTTTTTATCGTATCTAATCCGAAATTCATTAAAAATCTTGGTGTTATTTTTGGCCTTTCTCCCTATTTTTGAGTGCAATCCAAAATATTCCAAAAATGGGCCACTAGTCATTTTCGGCCATAGCCCATATAACAAACCGAATATGGGAACAAGTGTGGTCGGTGCACCGAATAAGAGGTGCAAATTCCATGCAAGCGATTGGACGTTACACCTACTCGCAAAACCCATGCAATTGCGTTTCTCCCAAAGCCCCTCGATTTCGCCCAATTCCAGAAATTCTCAGCATCTAATCAACTTTACCTCTGAAAATTTTCAAAACCCTAACCCCAATTTCTAATTTTGGGGGTGAAAATGCCTCTCAGGTCACTTGCTGGACCTCAAGCCGGCGATACTTGCACGAACGGGGACGCGTCTGTTTCTGAGCCTCAGCTTAACAGTACTGCAAACAATTCAGCAGACGGCGACGCTGGGGTACATACAGCTCATGCTCCTTCATTCATTTCTCGGTTTACTAATGCATACGATAGTATATAAAACCCCTGCTTTCAAATTGCAAATTGGGATGCTTTTTTGGGCAGTTCGTTTAGTCAATAACTCGTAGATTTTTATATGCTTGAGACTGTTAGTTATTTTATTGGGGGGGGGGGGGGGGGGGAGCTCTTTCAGCTTCTTGTTTATTCTCTTGGGTAAGGAATAGCTTCTTGTTCAGCTTTTTATCATTAACATTTCCCCTGACCCCTGCTCCAAAAACAAGGATGAACAAGGATGTTGAGTTGTACTGTTTCACACATATTAAAGAGATGCTAAAATATATGGATAAAAGATTTATCTAATGCTCATAGTATGGGAAGATCAAAGATGTAGCTTGGAAAGTTGTACAAGGGTAGAATTGGAAAATGTAATAAAATCTTAGGGAAAATGGAAACTAATAATCCAACCTTTTAGCGGTCTTCTTACAATAATCCAACCTTTTGGTTATTCATGAATAATCCAACCTTTGCACCTCATCTTCATTCATTGGTCCCTTACCGGTTGATGACCTGCTATTCCAAACTATTTTCTTATCTTTGCAAATCATTATACCATAAATCTCATCTTTCACAAAGATAATATTTTTCAAAGATAAGAAAATAACTTGGAATAGTAGGTCATTAACCGACCAGGGACCAATGAATGAAGATGAGGTGCAAAGGTTGGATTATTCATGAATAATCGAAAGGTGGGATTATTGAAAGAAGACCGCTAAAAGGTTGGATTATTAGTTTCCATTTTCCCTAAAATCTTATCTTGAGGTGTAGCTTAACAACTAATTTCAGAGGAAGAGTCAGAAAAATAGCGACATAGACATGATCAAGTTAGAGTTAAAAATCATAAAGTTTACTTCGGATTATCACTATTCTTGAGTAATCTAATGTGCAAGTAACTTTTTGTAACTTGGAATGCCCAGTCAGTGGCGGACGCATGAATTCCAAATTGGAGGGGCGGTAATGTAAAAAAATACATTCTAATACATACATATATTGAAATTCTGCAGTAGATATCTGCTCTTGCTTTTAGATTTCATATGAAACGTTTTTATTTTTCTTTTTGAATGAGCAAGGTACTTAGTTGCTTATTATGACTTAGGAGTGTTGCTGTGACTTTCATCTCCATTTCACGTTTTCACATGTATATATCAGTTCATATGAATATATCCCTTGTATGGCCTTTCGGCACTGATGGGTACGCCTCTGTTTCTGAGCCCCAACTTAACAGTACTGCTAGCCATTTTGCTGACCCAAATGTCAGGGTACCTACGGCATCTCATACACCATATATTTGTTCAATTTACTAGTGCTTCCAAAAAATCCCGGCTTTCAAATTGCAAATTGGAAGATTCCAAAGGGTAGTTCGTTCAGTCTATAAATCATAAATTTTTATATTCTTGTGATTGTCCCTATGGGGTTGAGCTCTTTCAGTTTTTGGTTTATTTCTGTGATTAAAGAATACCTTCTTTCTCATCTTTTTATCTGTAACTTCCCCCCAGTTTCAAAACCATGGATGTTGAGTTGTATTGCTTCACAGTTCACACATATTAAGGAGCTTCTAAAATATTGACGAAATGTAAAAGGGTAGAATTGGAAAAATCTAATTAATCATGTCTTGAAGAATGAAGATGTAGCATGACCAGTAATTTGGGGAAAAGGAAAAGTTAGAAAAAGTGACATAGGCTGATAGGCATGATCTTGCTAGATTTAAAAGTCATGAACTTTACTTAGGGTTGTTGCCCTTGAGTAATCAAAAGTCTAGTTAAACTATTATTTGGAATGTGGAGAGCTCAGTTTAAGTAAGTTCTGTTCTTTCTTTTAGATTGCATATGAAACATTTAATTTTATGCATTCAATGCGCAATATGATAATTATAACTTAAGATTGTTGCTTTGATATTCAAGTCCACTTTCACGCTCTCACATGTATTAGTTCATATGAATATGTCCCTTTTATGGCCTCTCGGCTATAGTGTCATTTCAACGTTTCACCATCAACAAGGATTTCTTTCTGTTTTAGTTCTCTTTAAAAAACTATCCAGTTTTAGTCCAACATGCTCTCAAATATAGTAGGAGGAAATCATTTAAAATGTTCACGTAGACAAGTAGTGAGGACATTTTTAGCGTTATGGACTAAAAATGGGACATTTTTTAAGGTTTAGGGCTAAAGATGGAAGAAGTTAAACTACCTGTATGGAAGTCCCAAAATAGTTGAGGTATCAAAAGCATAATTTATTCAGTTTTATCAGAAATAACTACCTGTATTTAATTCTTGCATTTTGCGTAGAAATCAGAGAAGAGGCTCAATGATACTGAGATGTATGTACCGATAGTGTATGGAACAATAGCATTTTGGCTTGGCAAGAAGGCCACTGAGTAAGTGAGAAGAACTGGAGAAGTTGAAAAATAGTACATTAGTATGTCATGTGCACCTTTTTATAAAAGTTAATAATTTTGAGTTTTATGTCTTTAATAACCAGAACGCAGTCGCATAAGTGGACAGTTTATGTTCGTGGGGCAACAAATGAGGATCTTGGTGTTGTTATCAAAAGAGTTGTATTCCAATTGCATCCCAGTTTCAATAACCCCATGAGAGTTGTGGAGTCACCACCTTTTGAGCTTTCAGAATGTGGTTGGGGTGAATTCGAAATCAGGATATCCTTATTTTTTCACAATGATGTCTCTGAGAAGAAATTGGATTTGTATGTCATTTATCTTTTACTTTTGTCAATGGACTTTTTCTTTTAGTTCTCGTTTGGTAAGGTCTATTTGCTTAAAAGGGATGAATTTTCTGAAAGGAAAAGCACTTGGTAGCCTCAATTTCGGCCAAACAAGTGAAAATATATGTATTCTACTCATCAGCAGAAAAAGCAAAATATGCCAGAACTGACAACCAAACAGAGTCCTAATTCGCTGATCAGTATACGTATAGTTGATTTACTGCTCTTTTTGTTACCAGGTATCATCACTTGAAACTATATTCTGAAGCTGAACCTGGTCCCGTGACAACTAAAAGACCTGTTGTAGTGGAAACTTATGATGAGATTGTATTTCCAGAACCTTCTGAACAATTCCTTTCTCGCATAAAGAGCCATCCTGCTGTAGTTTTGCCGAGGGTTCCTGCAACTTTGAACTTGCCTCTTGTAGGTCAGGGTAAGAGATCTTATTTGTCCATAATATGTCCGCTGTGATAATTCTGAGTTCTTGTTCTTTTCTTGGTGATTAGTAGATCCACATAAGGTGAAAAGAGGTGATACGAAAAACCACCCACTTAGCCAGTGGTTCATCAATTTCTCAGAGGCTGATGAGCTTCTCAAACTCACAGGGATTCGTCAGCAGGTACCTTTTGCTTGTTAATATCCAGAACGGTTTCCTCTTTTCATTCTCAACTTTCGTTTTCCCACTTATGATGCATGACTATTGATTGCTCACCTACTATGTGCCCTTTTTTATCACTTATCTAGCTGATTTCTGGTTGACATTCGCTGTCAAGGATCAAAAGTGGAAAGAAATCCAAATTCGTGCACTAAAAGTAGAAAAGTGAATGTTTTGGGACCAATGATGTTTTTTTTCTTTTTCTGCTATTGACCCCTGACTCGCCCCACTTTACAATGGTTAAAAAAATAATATTTCTTCTTGCTATCTGCTTTTTGATACTCGCATTTGAAATATGTTACCACTGTTTGGCATTGAGACATTATAGCACTTGCTATGTATTCTGAAAAAAAGAGAACAAAACAGAACTTCTGGAGCAGCATAAAATCTGGACCATTGAGCTTTAAAATCCTTTAGGAGCAGTTTGGAACATGAAAATCGCTAGGAAATAAATTATAAAAAAAAGAAAATAGAGGAATTAGAAGATAAGAGTTTAGGGAAAGAGAAGATAGATTCAAGTTCAATGAATATTTTCAATTAAATCCATTTTAGATATTTGTTCTCATTCATTTTTTTCCAATCATATCAAGACTAAAGATCTGAATGCATATCATTTGTAAAATAAAGACATTGTCATTTTCCTTTGTTTTTTTCAAGGTAAAACCAAACATAAGAAATTAACTTTCATGAGCATGTTTTTCTTTGCCTAGCATTATCTGAGATCCAAACACACACTGTTACTTAAGAATATCTGATTAATTATTAGGTGAGGATGATGGTGGTTTTGTTATCACCTAGTTGACTAAGTTTATAGCTGATTTAAGTGATGTGCACTCATTGTAATAGGTGCAAGCTCACATTATAAAGATGAGAAGACAGTTGAGTATGATGGAAGAGGCTCCTCTAACATTCAAACCAGAAAATGGTTAGGAATTAAAATGAATATATAGTATGACTCCTCATTGCAAGTCTACAACTGCAGATATGCTATATGGCCGCTTCTAGTTATTGATGGGGGGGGGGGGGGGGGTCTTCATCTCTTAGTTGAAACTATTTCCTAGTTAATTAGTCAAAGCCTCTGAGGCTGGCTGGAGTTATGATGTTAGACGGTGTATGAACTTTTTTCTTGTGCCATTGTCCATTGGAATGAGGTGTACTCCATTATTGACCTGCAATGAAAGATGGTACTGTTTTCTTTTTGGTAACCTGGTGCCTGGTGGTGTGTTCTAGTGACTGACGTTTAGTCAAGGATTGTATGGTTTAAATGGTGGAATTTTATGAAAACAAAGATGTTTGGTATAATCAATTTATGGTTTTCCATATACCAACTATGATGAATTATGTACTTGTGAAGTTTCAGTCTTGATTACTTCAGGCTCCCTCAGCCCCTTTCCCCAGTCCCCAGTAAAAAAAATATGTACTTGTGAAGATGAAACTTTTGACCATGTGGTATAGAAAAATATATCCCCATGTTAAAGACTAATATTGTCATCATAATCATAAACGAAAATATACTTGATGGAGTTCATGCTACTTCAATGATTTGAATCCATGTTAAACCGTGTAGTTGAACTCTATTGTCTTAAATAGGGATAAAAATGTCTTTCAAAATAGAAGTATGACATTATAATTCTTTAAATAGTATGGCATTATAATTCTTTAAATAGAAGTAATTACTATCAGTTTGAAAAACACTACCAAGATATGACATTAGTTTTCAAAATGACAGTAATGTTTTCCTTTTTAAGAAAAACATAATACTCCAATTTTAAAATTTTACATTTTTACTTTTATTTATGAAAATTTCCCCATACACTAATCAATATTTAAATTTTAAAGCACATACACTTATATTCGTATCCAACTAAATTAACAACATCAGAAAGGTACAACTCGAGTAAGAAATATTTGAGTAAGAAACAACATAAAGGCATATTTGAGTAAGGTACAATTGTTTTTTTGTTTAGTCAACTAGATGAGGGTATGAACTTTTACGAGGTAAAAGTAATGATGAATTTGGTGGGTTTTTCTCAAATGATGATCATTTCCCATGCTACTAACTAGAGTGGTTACAGAATCAGTGATTCGTCTTGCCTCAAGTGATAGTGTGAGAGTTAGTTTCTTACTGGAAACTGATTGTGTTTGAACAACTAGTAGCAGTTCTCCTGAGTAGTGGGAATCTAAGAACACACACAACTAATCAATTCAGAATAACTTCTTATGCATGATGGTGTATACATTATAATGGGACATAGCGAGTTGTTTAAGCAACCCGGATTTACTTTCCTCAAGGTCTTTGAGTGGTTCTTAAGATCCCAATTCTTTGACAAGGTTGGAAATACCATTTTCTCAATGTTGTAGTTTAGGTCAATCTCGATACCCTTCAGAGATCATTTCTTTTTTGTAAAGGTAATGGTTACTATAACTTATAGTGTCACACGAGTGATGGCCACAACGGAGTTGTTGCTCGGGAAAGAGGTGAGAATGGTCATAGCAAGAATAGGATAATGATGACATACTCATGGTGGTGAGTAGTATGGATGATGTTAGAATTGGTCCTATGTTTTTCATGGCTTAGGATCTGCACTCATTGACTTGTTCCAAAAATTATAAATTATACTTCATTAATTAGAAAAAATAGTGTATTAAAATTATGTATAGGGTCATAATATAACGATAAGAGCTGCATTAGTAGTGAAACTATTAATTCTATATTTTAAAAAACAATATAACTATTTACTGAAAGAAAAAATCCCAAAGCACTTCTTGTAGGGCATTGTGAAAAATGTCTCAATATATGAAACACCTTTAAAATAATTAAAACATAAAATAATGAAATGAATATAAAATTGAATAAGAATAACTATTTAACAAATCAATAGAAAATGCACAAAACTGCAGACATATGAATATAGATATGCAGTGACATAACATATCTTAGAAGCATGAAAATGAATACCTACAATTGTAAAAAAATAAACAAGGAGAAAAAAAAACATACAAGTCCTACAATTATGCCTTGACCAGTAGAGGTTGTTAGTGATTTATATATACTTCTTCCAAAAAAAAGTATGTATAAAGTGTCAGAGAATTGGGTGGAAAAACATAATCATACTAACAATTAATGTTACGTTCTAAAAGGTGCTAGGCGATAGTCAGGAGCTATACCAACACCTAGCACCTAGGCGGGGACTAGCCGAAGACCTAAAATATATATTTTTATCAATATTTATGCATAAATATGATAAGAAGTATTGTGTTTGTGCGTGTGTATATGAAAAACACACATTAACGTGAATGAATGATAGGATTGTCACATATAATAATATATTATAACTAATCGTCTAACTTCATTATGTAATAAATATTAAATGATAATAACATTTAAAAATATATACACACATATTTAGTTTTATCTTAATCTACTGACAACTTTCTTTATATGCGTGGTTACGTTAAAGGTACATATATATGTTAGAAAAATAAAATAAAATAGCAATATAAATTGCTCGATGAATCTAGACGCCCTAGACGGCCAATAAGGCGTTCTGGATGGGCAACTATACACCAAATTAAAGCACTTAGTCGAAACGTCTAGACTAAAATCAGGGCGTCCGATTCCTAGCGCCTAAGAGGGGACTAGTCGGGCGTCTAGAATGATTTTTAGAACAATGCTCACTACATATAGATAGTATATAAAGAACAATTATTGACCTAGAAAATTTTTATTTTTTAGGCTTTTGGTTATCTCCCTCTTGCCCTTCCCTAGGGCACCCACCCGCCATTGATGATGGTGACGATGACCGTTTAGTGTTTTATAGTAATTTGTTATTACTGCTGGAAAGGTTTAATTGCAATCCATTGCACCCTACATTTTTCATCATTCATTCATCATTATTACCCCAGTGACGCAAAGGCTCCCACCTACGGTGTGGTAAGGGGGGGTCGGATGTACGCAGCTTTACCCCTGTGCTAAAGCACATGGAGACTGTTTTCGGATGACCCATGGTGAAAATCACGTCAAAAATTGCATGGACTGATTGTTGCTTCATAACAAAGAAGCACAAACCGTTTAAAGAGTCGTTTTGCTTTATTCCATCATATTCCCAAGCCAAAAATAGGTAAACTTTGGCTCCATTGCAAATGATGGAAACCACCCTACATTTTTCATAAAGCTTATAAATTGGCACCCTACATTATAAATATATAATGCATATATCTTTCATAACATGATGTATATAAATTGACACCAACACGCTGCAGCAGCATAACAATATCACATTTGGAAAGACCTAGCATGAAGCTTGGGGATCGACTTGGGACCTTTTGAAATGGGATTGAAACGGCTGTAATTGAGTATTGAGATGTCAAGTGGCAATACACGATCATACAAACGCCCAATGCCCAATTAAAGGATAGTAGTCATATAATCAATCTGTACAAAGATTACATTACCTTTCATTTTCATGATTTCATCACAACACAAATGAAGAAACACCACAATCCTTTATAGTTTATTTTATCGTCCTAGCCTTAACTAAATTTAGCTAATCCAATATAATTTCCATTCTCACAATCCCACCACTACAATCTCCTCCCTTGCTTTACATCCCCTCCCCCCCCCCCCCAAAAAAAAAAAAAAAAAAAAAACACACTGAAAAGTGAAAACTAAAGCAGAAACAGAAAACGATCAAAGTTACGCTCTACTGTCAAATAAAGAGCAACAACTAACCATCCCAATAGCCTCATCAGTCATCACCCATGATAGATTTGAAAGAACAATTTAACAATTCAAGAATGGTTCTAGTTAAAACATAAATGTTTCTTGAAATCACAGAATATGCATTTAATGTTTTACCCAAACAACCACCAACAGGGACCAATGATATAAGAACATTGACCAAATACAATGATGCCGGTACAGATGCATATTTTTCAGTGGTCATCTCCCTACAAAAAGGTAACAGGGAGTTTCCAAAAAGGAAGACACATTAGTTCATAATATTTCTTCAAGTTATTATCCATGATGATACCACATAGTTGTTGCTATGGACATAAAAAGGACAGCAATCTCCTAGTTGAAGTCTTTAAATCTTTGGCATGCTCAGTAACACAAGCCCAGAGAATCTTCAGCGTGTCGTGTAAATATGGCTCATCGTCAGCTGACGACCTATAAAGCTGTTCGCATGATTATGTGAACACCGCTATCAGTGTGTACAATGTCACTTATCTCCCCAACCTTGAGTGAAAATGCTGCTGTCTCAAAAGGCTTCTGCATCTTGTTCCTGCCAAACTTACCTGCATCAAGAATATATTAATTTGGTTCAAAGAGACATGCCCAAGAATGAATCACATTTATGGAACCTATATTCAAAATATATAGTACACCTTTGTCCCATTTTATGTCTTAATTTCCTTTATTGGGTTCTCCCACGCTCTTCTTTTGAACTCCACTAGCTTTTAAATTTTCCAAATGACCTCTTTATGATTCGACACATTGACCTATTTGCACAACAGTTATAATTTAGATGCATTAATTTTGGATCCTACCAGAACCTCTACAGAAATAAACATGCTTATCCAACAGACAACAAAGATGCCAAATCATTTATATGTGATGAAGTGAGATGTTCTTTGTACTTAGAAATCATTACTGAACCTTCCATGTTTTCTTTCACGAACTTGATTTTGAAGAGCATAAAAGATGTCAAATTACTTCCATGATTGCAAACAGCCAAATAAGCTACCAACTATGGGACTAAAGTCCTTCACACAGAAAAGTAATGTCTATTTTAATTTATTCCTTCTTTCCAGCAGTGAAGCATAAACACCTCACAGAAAGTGCCAATTCCAGGTTCACTTAAGTGGACCAACAGGCATTGTCAGTAATATGAAAAAGAAGTCAAAATTGGTACTCCTCCGTCCCACAAAACTTTGCCAAATTTCCTAATTCATTCGTCCCAAAAAACTGTCATTTCTGTTTAAAGTAATGCATATGTGGTTAAAAGTATTCTCTCTCCTTTGCACAAATCTCAACCGCACAGTTTAGACATTTTTATTCTGCTTGCAAGTCAAACTTGGCCAAGTTTGGTGGGACACAGGGAGTAGAAATTATAGGCGGACCATCTAAATGTGTTGTAGAACATAAAAAGGAACCTATACCAGAACTTCTAGGTAGGTTCAAGACCTATGAAGCCAAGTATAAAAATTCTGAAGGGTCATTTAGTTGAAATTTGAATTCCATGGGAAAATAATAAATAAGTTTTCTCTCCTTCCATTTTGTTTGTCCAGTCTTTTTTAGTAAGTCATACCAAAATGTTTGACCCATACACAATTTGGCAGTACTGTTTATC